GTCTGTAAGATGGCAGAGGAAGAAGTAGAACTGGTAAGGAATCTGGTTAAATACCCGTCGTGATGGGCGCAGTCAGGCTTACCACTTTTGGTGGGACAGGAACTGCCAAAGTAATATGCACTTAAGGCAAAGTTGGGCAAAAGTACACAGAAGTTGATGGAATGTTTTGCTTCATGTTTGTGGCATGGATAAAGTGCAACTGAAAAACAAAAGCTCCTGTGTTGAAGGTGACGCGCTTTCCTTCCCCGTTCGAGGGACTATGCCATTTACAGACAGTTGACCGCATGGAGTACAAAGTGTCAAAGAAGTACAAACACTAGTGCCTTCACATGGATTTCAAAATAATCGCTAAAATTCATTAGATTCTAAAGTTGAGTAAGGATGGTGAACAAGGAAACTCAGTCCTAAGGTGAAAATTTAGAAAAGAAAATAACAAAAAATTCATACTTGCAACTGATGACACCGACGACTTTACTAGGCTTTAAAATATCCTCTAGATCCTAACAATAACCTAATGTTCGGATCTAGTTCGATACAGCTTTATCATCACCCAATTGTCCATTTCAAAGTACCTACCCATGTGAGTCAAAGTGACCCCAAACAAAAGACGCAGGATATAATTGTACCCATGTAACAAAGGGACGAAATAAGTAGCCGAGAGCCAGTATAAACTCATCAAGAGGCAGCATGTCAATGCAAGGACATACTTAGCTTCTTCGACATTCTGCCCCGGGAAGATGAAAATCCGGCGCACAACTAGCTGTTCCTCCCCCGCCTCTGAAGTCATCGTCCCCGGATCAGTGAGAGTGGCGCTTCCGATTGTGGAAGGGGGTGCAGAGGTATCCCCCTCAAACCCTGCCGCCCCTATCGCGTCCACCTCGTGTGCGGAGGCAGCGAGGAATGTGAGGCCCCGGTAGCAGAGGCGGAAGTAGCCCGGCTCCTCGTCTGGCACTAAGATAGGAAGAAAAGCGACCAACTTACTGCTGGGAAAACGTCAAGATTTTAATAAGAACGGAATGGAGCATTATTCGTAAACGATTAAAAAAGGAGGCAGGAAAAGAGGATAAAAAGGTTTGATGTGAAGGAGATAGAAGTAATCAGCCCCTTCATATGGAAATGTAGTCGGAAGACATGGAATCGAACTACCACCAGGTCGGAATAGGGCACCTGCAACCTAGCTGAAAGTAACTCGGGCAGCAACTGCAAGAGTACTTCCAGTCTTTCCCAATTCAACTACCCTTCAGAGCTCATTCAGATAGGGTAGTCACCCACTCTTCGAACTTCTTACCCCTTTAGCACGTTGATAATGGACCCGCTTCTACTTTTGTCTGCATCTTCAAAAACAATTAGGGCGCTACAACTGAGGCAGCATCAGAAGAACTCAGTTTGAAGGAGCAACAACCCCGACTTCACTATCAAAATGCTCCATTTAAATGTCATAGAAGGCATCTACTGTTGATGGCTAAACATACTACGACTCAAGAATAGAAAGGGAGCTACTGAAATCATCCCAACTTTCGGCCTTACAAGATAACTACGAGTGAATTAAAGCCGCTCAAAAGGTCGACTCGGCAAAACCAAAAATATGAGAACAAAGCAGTTAGGTGACTAAGTAGGTCTGGGGGCGACATTAAAGTACCGATGGATTGTAAACAAAAGATAGTCCCGTAAAAGCTTTGTTGAGCACTTTAATAGAATTTTGCCATTGGGCAACTATTCCTGCGAAGCGATTGGCATACGAGGTGGACCGGCCGTACAAGAGTAGTGGGTCCCGCAACGAAGTTCATACACTGAACCATCATTAGATTCATAAGTTCGTTCAAGAAGATGGTCATCGCATGATTTTTGTTTCTGCCTTAAAATAGTCTTATAAATCCAAACATCTCGCAGTGGCCAAGGCGAAAGAGTGACATAGAACGGAGGGCGCCAAGAACGACACCCAAAAGACGGGTAGTAACACAGTAGTGACCTCATTAAATTTATCAACTAGCTCTGATGACGTCATTCCACATGTCCAGTTTACGACTGCAGTAACATTGTTCACAAAAAGCACACCTTATGGTGTCATTAGAGTTTATATAAGGTGAATATTGCTGCCAAAAAGACGTGAAACAGAAGGCGCCGTCGTTACATCATAACAGGTCAAAGTAGAGCTGTTCTGACATAACACTGGCACTATTACATCCATCACCAAAAAAAAGGTAATCTGTGCGTTAGGCCCCAAAAAGACATCAAACCTTGTCTAAAATAGTCCCCTAATGTCCAACTAGAAACCCACACAACGATACAAGTGCAATCGTAACCACTTATGAACATACGAAATTGCTTGGTGGATCCAAAAACGTTAATGATAGTTGCAAGGGTTGGTGCCTGAGCAGAAGTATTGACATGTTGAGACAAATATCGCAGCGATATTTTGGAGAGGTCAGTGATCTCAATCAGCTAATGGGAAAAAACAACGTTAATAGTCTGTTAAGCAAACCTTAAGCCTCTGCCACCTGGGATCAAAATGCAACTTTAGACCATCATTAGTTAGATGGAGAAGTATATCGGAATCGAAGGGTGACTAAAAAAGTAGTAAGCGTAAATTACTTTACCTTTTCGGAGTACCAAACATCTACGTTAGAAATTATTCCCTCAAGCCTTTTAAAAATTTCGATAACTTGGTGAATTGGCATTCCGAGAAACAGTTCCCATGTGCTGCAACGTAGCGCAAGCTCAGGCACAATCTCCGCCTCTATCATATTTGCCATAAATCCTATTTCAGGGGCAAATTCGAACCAGCCTCCGCGTGGGGCAATATAAACAAACATGTGGCAAAACTGTGAGCTGCGAAACAAATTAGGGCCAGTCACGCCATGAATTTAACCTTAGGATTAAATCTACAAAATAACTTGATTTTACAAACCTGAAAACCACCATGCAAATACTCGTCTAGTTAGGTCTCACGCACTTGGGTAAGATTCTTTTTGTTTATTTAAAGGATTTTTCGCTCATTTATATTTTAAAAGTTTTACACTTAAACCTTAATATTTTTGTTCTTATAAGCTTTTCGAATCATGCGATTTTTCTACTAATCGGGCTGAAGCCTGTGTAAAGCAGATTAAATTCCAGTGGTACCATTACATTTAATGATGCAGGAAATTGATTTGAGTGAAAAACTTACATTACTATAAGTATGTTGTACTTAGATTTTGTTTAGCACTTGAGGCCGCTTTCTGATGTCAATGTTTTCCTAATTTACCGATGTTTATTCTAGAAAATAGACCCCTTTATGAAATAACTTGCAATGTCCGATTGAGAAAGCTCTGTAGTCTATACAGGTTGTACCACCTTTCCGCAATTCGCGACACTGTACTGATGGCAGTGGTGAGAACCTATCCTTGTTTCTGCTACTGATTAGCAGACGATCAATTCACAGAAGACAAGCATCCGCTGAAGATGGCTGAATCTGAAATGACTTCCATTAACAGGGTTAAAATGCTAATAATCACAAGTCTCTCCTCTCCAAGAAGCCTACTACTATCTAAAACAATCTCAGCTTTGTACGATTTGAATGACCCTCTTATTTAGCTTTGTGCTGTACTTATGTGCAAACCTCGTTTCTTTAAAAAAGATACTTGTACAAGGCTTTACTAGTTAAGTGGGTCCCATGTGGTCCGGTGGACAGCAGTTAACTTAGAGAAAAGCAGAAAGGAGAAATGAATGTAGATTAGTAGCTTTTTTGATGCTTGGTCTAATATCGACTAGCCCAGCCTTTGGGCTATTATCCCTGCAAATGGCAAGTTGTGCACAAAACTCCCTCCTTGCAAGGCTGTCTTTGGTCTTGGGTGGCACAAGACCAAACCCTTTTTGTAAATATGACGCGACCCCTGATACATTCGAACCCTCAGGGTACTCCCTAAAATAAATTCGCCGTTCAACCAACATATGCATTCCAAGGGTTCAAAAGACGGATTCAAGATACTGTAGCGTCCTAGGTCTTCCTTAAAGCTAAACGCGCATCGCTAACATACGCAACGGCCTGGTGCGACCCTCTTGGACCGCAGGCCATGCTCTCATTTGAGGCGCAAAATCGGAGCCTAAAACGTCCGCGCGACCGTATCCAAGAGCGTCTTATCCGGCGCTCCCTTTGGTCAATCGCCTACATCGGCCAACACAACGGAGTCGATACTGTAGGAAGAAAACCGCCTACGAACCAACCCCGTCGGCAGTCAATTTTGCTTGCCAATAAGAAGATGTCTAATTCCAATGTCACTGATCTCCCTTGGCGATTCTACTGCCTCTGATATTCCATCTTGTTTATTAGCTGTACTGGGGGAAGGGAGAATGTGAAGACCATCTCGTACGTCCATCAATAGTCGTAAGAACACCGGCCTAAAAGCAGCCATTTCATAAAGTAGAGAGACTGAAATACTCTCGTGGGGATAGGTTTTGAGCGTGTTCATCCGTGTCGCGTTGTTCTGACCTCAGCGTTGCCCAGCTTTACATCTACCTAGATTCTGTCCACCTACCTAGCGGATAGATGGATGCGGGCATCGCTTATTCACTTAACTGACATCTTCCTACAGGTGCCGTAGAGACCTCCGTAACAAACTATTCCAGCTGGTTCATGGCTAGTGTCGATTCGGTTGTTAACAGCTTCACTGCCGATCACGGCACTGGGGTAGTTGTCAAAAGTGGACATCTTTCTCAACCATTCTATTTGGCGTCTTCATGGCTTCGCCCCTCCGCAGCCCATGCCCTTCTCCCGTCACAGCATTTATAACCCAGCCATAGGAATTAGAATAGTTGCCCTTTGGGATCGTGTTTGCCTTCCGCTGTCACCACTGTAGTGCCCTGAGTTCGCCATGAAGTCGTCAGAATGTGTCTTGCCGACGTACTGAAGGGTTGAGTGGACTACTGTCATGGCCCGCAGGCCTTGCGTACCAGCAGCAATACAAAGGCGGAGCCTTGAGCACCTTCGAGGCACCAATTTGTTTCAGTCTCTTCTTGTTAAGGAAAGTCAGGGTCAATGGTAGTTAATTCAAATTCTCATTTGATGGGGTTGAGGCCACTTTCGGTAGAACTGCATCCACTATGTTTGTAACCCATTTTTTAAACAATTATCTCATGGGCTGGAGAGAATAGTCTTGGAAATTGTCAAAAGGTAGTGTTTGTTTAAGTAACACTCTTTTACGCCGTTTACTGCATCCCGGTGAAGTTGGAAAGTTTTTTATTTAGTAAAATACTACGAAAGTAGTCTGTTAAGCGTCGCATTGGTGTTCACTCAGACTGCCGTTTGGGTGGGAAAATGTGCCTTGTTTTTCAAAAAATAAGCCCTACTAATGTCTTTACCTAAGGTTGCAGTAAAAATTCTCACCTATTTTACAAGCGAATGTTGCAGTGGAAAACCCTATTTCTGGGTGGCAGAACTCTCGTACCAAACCCCTGAAGGGGCAGGAGGCCAAGTCAGTAAGAAATCAGGATGACTATCCCCTAACCTAGGGCCTGGAAAACGACAGACCTGAGCGGAGTGCCCTACCTCCACATAAAAGCAAATCGCGGAGAACTGAAGGCCTAAATTCAGCTTCACTGACTGCTGGAACACGTGGTCATATGCATAACCCAACCTCCACCATCGTCATGTTATAGCTGTGGTAGATCCAAGTCGCCCGAGCTTTTTTGCAACTCTATTTTAAAAATGAGGCAAAAAAGAGGAAAAAGTCATTTAGTGTACCTCAAACACATGGGTCTTTGAAACCAGTCTTACGGTAAATGAGCTCCCCCACAGCTGAGGCTCAACCGACCTGCCATTTCCTGTCATAAACACGGGCTTTTGCTATCATCTGCATCGATTATGGTGGCATTAACTCCATTTATGTCCAAAATGCTCCCGTTAACGAAACGAGTGGGGCCAATTGACCCGCCTGACCTATTTCTAGACCTGCCACTTATACCCTAATGCGTGACCTTTAAAAAGGTCACTTCTGGTGCAATTTATCGCACTTTATGACCATCTTCCATCAGGTGCCTACCCGTAGGACAATCAAATCGCCCTTATGCTCACTCATAAAGGCGTAAGAAAGACCAGTCGTCACACATACGTGACGCTGTTTGTGAACGTGTAAACCTATGGCGACTTGTTTTCCAATTTTCATAGATATTATTTAGGACATTATTAAGAGGGTGTTTCACAGGGAACCACACCTTTTACATAAAAAATGTTCTGCTTCTGAGGAGATTGAGCTATGTTCTATTGCATTGGTTGGACTACACAGAAGGGTGCTACTAAGTCTAGTCGGAGGTAACACCCCAGATTGCTTGATTGAATGACTTTTTTGCATGCGAATAAATGAACTATGATACATAAATGATGGAAAGCAGAAGTGCGAGCTCTTTAACTGCAGGTAGACGTAGCTACCATTGAACTGATTTAGCAAGGAATTGAGAGAATGTATAAATTAACCAGACAGTAGCGTGAAGTTTTTACGCTAGAGATTAACTAATCCCATAACTCTATCACCATTTTCCGACCAAATACAAACACTTTGCCTATGTAAGCTGAAAAGTCGCATTCCTATTCCCATTCTGTTCATGTGATTGTCTGGTGTCTAACACAGAGAAAATATGACATCCACTTAAGGTTGGGGTAAATTGCCATCAGAGGAATGCGGAGACTAGGAATGAGACTGGGTCATACCTCTCGTAGGTGCGGCTAACGAGGTGTCATGAGGTATGACAGCCTCCACGGTGTTGACAGCGCTTTCCTCCCACCGCTTTCTGTGAAGCAGTAGCCCTTATGCAATCGTTCAAGTTTTATCAAGGTGGTGGGCCTCAGTCGCAAGTGTTTGAATCTTGGGGTGGAAAAGTGCGCCTTCATTCTGTCATTACATAAACATATAAAGCAAGCCTGGTCATATTCTGGGCAGGGATCGGTGTGTCCCTTAGGTGTGTGGGCTGGTAGTGGGTGGATCCTTTGAGGATAACCAATAGCACATTCGTTTGCTTGCATGGCACCGGAATAAATAGGAAAGTTATTTCTCATCAAAAGTCCTTTAATCAGAAGGCTACGGCGTGGGCCAATATTCCACCTAGATTGTATCCATTCGCGTCGGTTTAGGTCCAGGGGATCAATGCGTACGACCGATGCAAAGCAAACAGTAATTTCACCCCCATCTATCTGTTTAGCTATTATTTTCCTATCACAGACGATACAGACGTATTTCACAGCTGTAAGTGCCCCGCGTCAAAAGGTCACCACAGTGATTTTAAGCAGGACTGAGGCCCATCAGATTAGTCCAGGTTGGTTAATGGGCAGCGACCAATGGGAAGAGAGCATGCACACACACGTGTGCACGCGCACGCAGGCTCGTCCAGAGAAAGTGAACCAGATAAAACGAGGACAAGGGAACGGACAAACGAAGGAAAATGAGGGGAAACCATGTTTAAGGGAAAGGCGGGATAAGAAAATGGCCCTAAAAGGCGATGATTTCTTGCACAAGACTGCCACCGTCCCTTCCATCATGACACGCAACTTGGAGTCACCGGGATCACCCGAGTCGCCGTTGCCCCGGGACCGACCAAGTATGCAGTTACTCACACTTCCCCCATCGGGTCGCAGTTACTCTCGCAATTGCAGCATCGCCTCATACCGCTCGGAGGACGCTCTAAGCAATCTCAGTCTCGGGAGTCTACTTCCACCCGATTTGGACAATGAAATTTTATGTGAGTCTCGTTTTTTTCCAACCTGCCCGAGTTTTACTGCCCTTAG